GTTTACATATCTAACACCCAAATTTTAGGATTTATTATTTTTTAAGAAAAGAAAATGCATAGATTTATTATAAGTATCAGAATGTTATAAATGTAAATATCAATGTAAATTCAAAAGAATTGCTTGGTATGCATGTAAATTTCTCAATATTTAAACAATACTCTAAAAAATCAACACATAAAATTTGATATTTACATGAATGACCCTAGCGGTATAAACCTAAACATGAAAATGTATTTCAGCTACTAATAGTGATGTTTTGGCATGCTTGCAATGCATGTAAATATGAAAGTTTGAGTGATTTGTAATGAGGGGGCTTACATACCTACCTCTAAATTCATATGCATTTACATGGGATGAATATATAAGAATTATGTGGTAGTATGTAGATTTCTCAGTTAAAGATTCAAAATTAAATGAATCATACAAAGCTATAAACTATAGAGAGACTTCACAAATGCATCAGAATCTAAACCAAAACTAAGTTTGAAAAAAAGCTAAGCAGAAGAAAATATCTGTTCATGTTCCACAAATTTTCAATGAAAAAAGCCAGAAAAAAAACTCAGAAGCAGAAGCAAAAACAGCAGCTACTGTAGCAACAACCACAAATGGTTACAAGGGAAAATCCCCTCATTACAGAATACTAATAATCATGGCAGAAAGTGGACAGAAATATAATATTGTTCAAGTGTTGGTAGCTCTTGTGTAAATTTGCTGGGCAGAGTGAGCAGAAACCATCCTGATTGAACCCCTGGCCATTAGATCTTTGATGGCCCTCCTAGCCAATGATCCGTTAATCTGAAAATCAACATAAATTATTAATCTAGCTATAAGTAGAACAAAAAAGTAAATTTACATGCATACCACACAATTCTTATATATTTACTTATCAAGCTATACGTGAAATACACTTTTTTATGCATACGTAGTGGTATAAATGTAAAAATAAGAGTTTAGGTGTTCCATATGTAGATACATAAGAATTGTGTCATTGTGTGGTATATGTGTAAATCTTCCGAACAAAAAACATATATATTTCAGACAAATTTAATGAAGAGGAACATGCTGGCTGATAAAAATGGCCTAAAAAAGGCATAAATACATAATTTCAATGATGTCGAGCAGACAGAAAAAGGAATTCTAAAAATATTTGGCCAACACCTAGTAATATTAATAATTACATCATATGTTGGTAAAGGTCCTTGACTCTTCTCAAACGAGTCTTAGACTCTATTTGATAGTGGTTTTAACATAATTTTAGTTAATATACTAGAATTAAACCACTTAACCTAAAAAGAATGGAAGGATTGAGCTCTCCTTCATTTACAATCTTATTATTACTTCTAAGATGAAACTATTCTAGAGGTTATACTATTGCTGCAGGTTCACATGAAGCTAAGGATTGTTTGGGATCAATTTTATTTATTATTATTATTTTTTTTTTGTTGAACATGTTTGTTTATTGGGAGGTTTTTTACTCGTCTTTATTTTTTTTGTTTCTAAAAACAAATTAAGATGATTATAAAAATACTCAAAACAGCTTTAAGATGTGGAGTGTTCTGAAAAAAAGAGCAATACTTTAATCAATGTTTTGTTTTAAATCAAAACATAAACAAAACAAAATAAAAACAGAAGTGATCTGTTTGGGATCACTTTCAGTTTGTCTTTTATTTTTTTAATTTTGTTTTTCTTATGTTTTTACTTGAAATAAAACATGTTTTGTATGTTATGTTTTTAAAAACACTCGTAACAAATATTAGATTTTTTAGTATTTTTAAAAACATGATAATTTATTTTTTAAAACAGAATAAAAACATGTAAAAAATGCACTAAACAAACAAGTTTTTAAAATAAAAGCAAAAAGTAAAAAAATAAAAGTTATCTTACACAGGCCATAAGCAATTGGGAATGCTCCTATTTTTTAAAAGAGTTGTCCATAAAGATAAATTTAGAATCATGTTCATGTTTCACTAGAACTTGACAATATTGCAACAACAACAACAACAAAACCTTCATCCCTCTAAGTGGGGTCGGCTGCATCAATCCTTTTTCTCCATTGCGTCCAATTTAGTATCGTATTTTCATTTAATTCTAATAAATTAAGATCATTTTTTATACGATAAGCCCAAGTCTTCCTAGATCTACCACTATCTACCACTATCTTTCTTAACATAAGTCGAATCTAAAACCTCTACTCTTCTAATCAGATGAACAGATGGTTGACGTTTAATGTGAACAAACCATCTAAGACGACTCTCTCTAATTTTATTTGTCACTGGAGCTACACCAACCTATCATGGATAGATTCATCACGCATTTTGTCTCTTAAGTGTAAAGCCACTCATCCCACCTAGTCATTCTCATCTCGGTAACAGTTAACTTAGTTTTATGCTTCTCTTTTAA